TGGGGGGGGGGGCGCGGGGGCGGGGATGCACAGCAAAACAAATACAAATATTACAGATTGTGATAAGCCAAGAAGGAAATATACAAGGTGCTATTGCAGAAGATAACTGGGCTGGGACCCTTTAAATGTGGAAATTAGGGAAGAGCTGTCTGATGCAGTGATGTTTTAGCTAAGATGAGAAGTGTGGGAAAGAGGCAGTCAGGTGAAGGGCAGACAGAATTGTATTCCAGGTTTAGGGAAAGCCCTTGGTGAGGCTTCGGTGTGTACAAGGGTATGAGATTTGTTATTCTAGGAAATGGCAGAGGGCCAGGATCACCAGTGCTTATTAATAGAGGGAGAGACTCATGTAGGGTCTGAGAGGCCCTGCCTAAAGGATTTTGTTTATATTCACAGTTCAGTAAGAAACCATTGAAGTATTTAAACACAGAAGTAAAATTAAATAATTAAATTTTTAAAAGACTCCTCTGATTTCTCAGTACAAAACAAATTATAGGAAGCACCAGTGAGAGCACCAAGACAGTTAAGAGTCCATTGCAATTGACCCACAAGAAATGTTGGTGATTAGGACAAGGATGGTGACAGAGAGACAGGGAGAGATGGATACACTGAGAATTATGTTTATAGATAGTAAAGCCAGGATTTGTTAACAGATTAAATATAAGTGATGAAAGGGGCACCTGGGTGACTCAGTTGGTTAAGCATCTTGACTTCAGCTCAGGTCATGATATCAAGACTTGTTGAGTTCAAGCCCCACATTGGGCTCTGTACTGACACCTCAGAGCCTGAAGCCTGCTTGAGATTCTGTGTCTCCCTCTCTCTCTGCCCCTCCCCTGCTCACACTCTGTTTTTCTCTGTCTCTCAAAAAATAAAATAAAATGTTAATAAAAAATAAATAATATGTGATAGAAAAAGGAGAAATCAATAATGACTTCTCGGGTTTGCAAGGGAGAGAGGCTTCTGTTTTCTCTTTTATTTAGTTTTTCTTTTCTTTCCTTTTTTTTTTTTTTTTTTTTTTTTTTTTTGGATTGACCACATGAGTAAGTGGTGGCACTATTTATTCATGATTAAAAAGACAGACAGTGGATCAGTCAGTTGAGCACCGATTTCAGCTCAGGTCATGATCTAAGAGTTCATGAGTTTGAGCCCCACGTCAGGCTCTGTGCTGACAGCTCAGAGCCTGGAGCCTGCTTTGGATTCTGAGTCTCCCTCTCTCTGCCCCTCCCCAACTATGTGTTTGTCTCTCTCTCTCTATCAAAAATAAATAAACATTTTAAAAAATTATTTAAAAAAAGAAAGAAAGTAAGACCTGGCTGACAAAGCCAGGATGAATCTGCAGTTCCACTTCAGATGTATTTATTTATGTGTATCTGAGACACGCAAGAGGAGATACCCAGTAAATGTTTGGATGCTCAGCTCTGGATCCCAGAGGAGAGGTCTGAGCTGAGATGTCACTGTTGACTTTGTGAGTATTCAGATCCTATGTAAGGTCATCGGAGTAAATAAGACCACCTGGAGAATTAGTAAAGGAAGGTGGAGGCTAACATTTAAATATTTACAGTGAAAATATGTAAACATTGAAGTACTGGGAGGGAAAGCAAGACAATCTAAGAGAGGAGTCAGCTAGATAGATATTCGTCAAGGGAAAAGTTTGTGTTTTCCACCATGGCAGTTTTGAGGGAGCTGCAAAAACAAACAGCATTTCACTATGCATAGGGAGATGGATGAAAATTGAGGAAGGGAAACAAGGCATATCAATAAACATTTGAAGCTAATTTACAGTGAGAGGAAACAGAGAAATGAGGTACTTTGGACCAAGGGAAGAACTTTTTGTTGGGTTGTAATCTTTTTAGTTGTTTATCTCTTTAAGAATCTATTTGAAAGATAAGAGATTTTAGGTTGGGGTGCCTGAGTGGCTCAGTCAGTTAAGCATCTGACCGGTGAGTTCGAGCCCCACATGGGGCTCTGTGCTGAACTCAGAGCCTGGAGCCTGCTTCAGATTCCACTCCCGGATCATGCTCTGTCACTCTCCCTAAAAAATAAATAAACATAAAAGAAAAAAGATAAGAGATTTTAACAGATATTATATGAAGGTAGTCATAGTGTAGTAAGGAGCAAAATTATCAACATCTCAGGTAAAAATCAAAGGGAGAACCAGACCAGTGAAGTTCTTAAGACAGAGTTAGGCATAAAGTTGACTGACACAAAAGTATTGATTTGTCTTTGATAGAAGGATCAACTTCCTCAATTTTAATGGAATAGAACAGTGTAAGGATTTCATAATTCCAAGAAGGTTTATACATTTAATGCTACAAAGATGAGAGAGTTACCAATCAATTAAATACTTTGATTATTTAAGAAAGCTCTATCCTGTGTCTTGAGGGTAAGAGCGAGTTCCATTCTTCTTTTGTATTTCAGTTATATTTTATTCTTACATTTTAGGTTAGGCTGAAACTTCTTTCCTGTTAGCATTATGGTGTTTTGACAGTTAGAAAATGAGAAAGAATAGATTGCACATGTAATGCAATGTACAACACATGTACAAGCCGGTTGATGAATATAACTTGTCATTTAGCATCTTCCATCTTCTGGTAAATTGAATGTCTCTACTGCTACCCGAGCTCAACGACAGCCCTCTTCTAAGATGAATATTGCTTGAGAGGTCAAATGGAGAAAACTTTATCTTTCAAAAATAAGCAGTTCTCCTTAAAAGAACAATGTTAATTACCATATAAAACCCAGTCCTTTCAGGGAAGCCTGGGTGGCTCAGCCAGTTAACCATCCAACTCTTGATTTCGGCTCAGGTTATGATCTCACAGTTCATGAGTCCAAGCCCCGCACGGGACTCTGCACTGGCAATGCAGAGTCTACTTGGGATTCTCTCTCTCCCTCTCTCTCTGCCCCTCCTCCACTCATTCCCTGTCCCTTTCTCTCTCAAAAATAAATAAACGTTAAA